GTGAGTGTGAGTGTGAGTGTGAGAGAGAGAGAGAGAGAGAGAGAGGTGGGCGGGCTCTGGATCTGCTCCATCCCACCTCGGAAATACCAACCAGGTGCTGCAGCTCCTTCCTCCCGTACCCTCCTCTCCTCTCCAGAGCTTTTCTCGCGGAGCTCCGTTGCTGTGAACCCCGCAGTAAACAGCAGCGATGTCCGGCCACTGAGTTAACCCCCCCCCGCTCTCTCAGCCTGTGTGTTGCCTGGCTTGCATGGCTCCTGCTCGGCCGGCCGGACAATAGACGCCCGCCTGCCCGCTGCAGCAGTAGCAGCTTTTCCTCCTCCACCCGGGGGGGAGCTTTCCGAGTGATCCTGCCCAGGGTCTCTGCAGGACTCTCCGTCTCTCCAAATGGCTGGACACGAGTGGGAAGACTGGTTCGAGCGGGAGGAATTTATCGGGCAGATCAGCGACATGCGAGTGCAGAACCTGCAAGGTAGGGGCATCCCGGGTTCTGCTCATATTACTGCAGTTTAATAACAGAGAGCGCAGTGGCCTGGTGGCCACGCATGCACAGCCTCCGACTGTGCGCATGCTGAGGGACTCTCAGGATCGCTGGCTTTCCCATTTTGGGAACTTTGAATGGTGTTTGGTTGCTTTTCGTGAATTCACAGCAGCTCACAGAGTCCCAAACTTTCCAGATCGAGCTCTCCAACAGACCCGCATTCTCCCACAGAGCTCTGCCTAAAGCCTGGCTGCAGCTGTGGCGGTTACATAGGACCGTGCACACAATAATCTAACAATAATCACTGCTGTGTGGAGGTTAAATTCATCAAGGGCGCTGTGTGTGCGTGTGTGTGTGTGTGTGTGTGTGCTGTACATTTTGAAGCAGAGAGCTGAAGTTATGAATCATTCCATTGACTAGTATCCTGTTTTACTGTAGTAATCTAGAATTTCAGAAAGATCCTCATTACATGTATCCAGGGCCCGTGGAACCAGCAGGTCCAGTAGGGCTGGAGCCCTACTTGCTTTTATACATAACTGTGTCATGTGATGTAAATCAAACTTTTCCCATTTAAATGCTGGCAGCCTGCTGCTGCCCTCCACCACTTTGTTAGCTTTAAAGTTTTACTGAAAAAAGATTTTAACAGTGTTACTGCAGTGCTGATGGGCCCGACCAATTTCAAATGCGTTCCATGGTCCATGCATGTCTCAAATATCAGTCTCGGTAAGGTGTGATTTGCATATGCATTATGGAATTGGCATTGTGTATGTGTTTAAAACAAGCAGCAGGATAAAAGTATGATTATTACATTACATTCATTTGATTAAAGTGACTTAAGGCACCAGTGTACTTGTTGGATGGTCAAAGAGCTTTGCAAGCGTTTCCTTTTTCAGGCACCGTTCCCATGTCGGTATTGAGGGGTCTATATCTTGACAATTTCCAAAACCTGCAATCCGACATTCTCACCCTCTTCATGCTGTGATTTAGAGCCTGACCGATATATCAGTTGGCTGAAATTATCAGCCGATATTGGCCCATTGCAAACATATTGGTATTATATCAGAGTGCGCTGTGATTGGCAATACTTTTTGGCAAGCAGCACAGACTAAGAGAGAAAAAGCAGCTCTCAGCACTGTCAACTAGAATTATTTTACATGTTAACTTAAACATTCTTTAATAAAGGTATTTGTTTAAGAAGGCAGCCTCCTGAGTACCTTTGCAGAGTGATATTGGTGCAGAATCCCACAGTCGGGTCATCGTCGAGTGCCACTGCTTGGAACAACTATTTTACCATCTGGCATGGTCGGACAAAACACATCATATGTGTACACTGGACCTCGATTAAACTCTATTAATACAGTAGGTGCTGGTGTGTTCTTTATTCTATGACCAAAATCACAGTATATCGCCTTACATACAGTATCGCAATATATTGAATCGTAACCCCTGTTTCGTGATTCCTATCATATCTCCACATTCTTGACAATATGCAGCCCCAGCAGCCTGTTTAATTGAAATCCATCCACATAGCTAACCTGTCTTTTAAAAATGCATTGTGACTGCGTTCTCTGCTGCTCCACTGTTTAGTTAATCTGTAATGTTCTGGTAACTCCAGAATTTAATTTCTTGTGTTGTGGGGTGTTGTTCTCAAATAGTAAGCCTACAATTCCTCTTAACAATCCCAGAGAAGGGGTGAGCATGAATTCCAGCTAACAAGCTTCTTGCTGATAATCAGTGAGGAGCTCCTTACTAACAATCCTCCTCTGTGTGTAGCAGTGTTACATTCTGGTCTATTTTCTGCGGCTGTGGGTGTAGAGATTGTTCTCTCTGCCTCTTCTCCACCAGATTTATTCCTGCATGATTGTAGGAACAGGTTGAAAGAAGCTTAGGTTGTTGCTTGACGGACTAACACAAGAACCTGATGTTCAGTATTGATGTTGTTGACAAGATCAGTGAAACACTTTCAAATATCAGATTTATCTTTAAGTAAAAAAAGTTAAAAAATCTTCACAAACTGGCTGTGATTTAATTATCCAGATAATATATATAATATTAATGTCCAATTAATGCGTCTGTCCTGATAATTATGGTGCATCCCTGGATATGATATTTTTGTTATTTAATTACATCACTTAAGCAAGGAGGCAAACATTTTTTTAAAAGAAATTGAAAACACACAATGATAAAATATTCTAAACTTCAGATTTACTTAGAAGCTGTTTTGTGAGCCTTCAACTGATCATATCTCATGGCCTCTTCTATAAAAATAGATTTTGTTATCACCTGACCGAAGTTCTGCACTCAATTTCAACAATAATATAATAATATTTCTTTTCTTACAGAAAGTTTTTCCATATTGTCCAAAATGTGAACTGGATAGGTTGGAAGTTTCATTATTTTTTGGTTATTTAGAAATACATTACAGTAAATGTACAGTAGTATAATTAAAGGTATTGTGTACACACACAACATACAGGCCAACATAAGATATGACTTGCTCTGTTGAACTAAAGTGTGTGAATATCTAATATACTATAAGTGTTGCCAGTTTGCCAAACAGGGTTTTACAAAGATTAGAGGAGCAGACTAACCACTGCTCTTTAAAGTGGAAGTAATTGATTTAATGAGTGTAGTGAGAATGAAAGCTTTGTTCAGCTCGGACCCAGCTCATCCCAAAGCCTGTCACAGGCAAGAACTAGACCTCTCCTGATATGCAAATTGTATAGGTTTTAAAGCTGATTTGAAATATTATGACCTTACAAAGTTGATATGGCTAGCAAGAAAATAGTTTGCTACAGCCTGTCTAATATATGGGCCAATATTATTAACCTAAGCCAAAGTCCAGTATTCATTATTTCTTTTATCTCTGGTTTGGTCTCCACCAGCTGTTCTGGCTCTCAATGGAGTTCACGCAGCCACATGCTGAGTACCTTGACACTAGGGATGGAATGATTAGCACAATAGAAAAAAACACTTGTGATAATCGTGAATATTCTCACATGGCTTGACTTGAAAAAAGCTGTCTATCCTTCCAGCCTACAGTCCTACATTGATTTCCTGATTTATTTTGAACAAGGGGACAAGGGGGAGCACACATCTTTCCAGTCATTCCAAAATCTTGATCCTGGCTGAAGCATTGGCTTGTCCAATGTATCTCCTACAAAAAAAAGTTAAACTGGAGATGAGGTGCCTATCTGTTATGCAATAAATATGTGTTTTTTAACAAGGTGTAAGGTAAAGTGATGCCAATAGGTTTAGTGCCATTTTAAAGTATGAAATACTACAAATTAGATTTTTAATATAAATTTATTCTTGTGAACAAAAGCAGTAGTTTTTCTGCCGCCTCATTTCATTGATTTAAAAGGGGAATCCGACTGAATCTAACCCAGTGGCAGACACTTAGAATATATAAATAGTCAGTCTTCTCTCTGATGGTCTTGTTTGTTTATGTAGCTCATATAGGCATCAGTATTACTGAGATTGTTTCATAACCAGTTAAAAACTCCCAGTAAACCCGTAGTACGTTTAAGCAATGCTTAACTAATACATGACTCATGATGATTCAATGCATGAATTAATGTGGAAAGTATCGTTAATTCCTGTTGCTCACCATCAACAAATGATCAAGTCGCTGTGACTGTATGTGATAAGATCTGAAGTTAGAGCTAAACATTAGGCCCCATAAGCTACTGGTCATACCAGACCAAGTCAGATGGTAGCAGCAAAACCCTGTGTTTTAATGCTAATGAATTCAACTTTTCATTTGCAAGAAAATTCTTCTTTCAAAAGTCAAAGTCTTGTTGTAAAATTTCCAAATCTTATAAGGAAAATCAGTGGGACACTTCCACCACAATAACTGTACATGTTGGTGATAAAGGAAACATGATAGGGATGTGATGGAGATGGATAAAGTGGTCCACCCCTCAAACTTTGTATCTTATTACACCTGGTGAGCAACTGTTGCCCTGGAAACACACAACTGAGTTGCAGTTTACAGTTTACAGTCCTGGCTCAGAAGTGAACACAGAAGATAAAAATGTATTGATATGTGTTACTAATAACAAATTACATTTATAGTTTTTGTATTCCTGTAACAATTCAGGAAACATATAAGAGGTTGGTTGGCTGTTTTTCTGTTCAGGCCCAGGGTTTGATTGGGTGGAGTTGAGAGGGATTCCTGGTTTGAAAGAGACAGTCAAAATGTCATCATAACCAATAGAGAAAACTACAAAAAAAGACCAAAATTGCAATAAACCAACCTGTGGTACTTTTTCGTCAAGTTTAGGGCTGTATACATGTAGGGATGAGAATTGATAAGATTTTATTTATACCAGTGCCATTATTGATTTCTGATCAATTTCTTATGTAAAAAAGGGAGGCCTTTTCAGTGTCAACCATCGACATATATAAAGATGGACGACATGACAGCTCGCCAAAACATCTTAATCGCCCCTGGTGGCTGACTGCATAAAGCCCGCTGCTATGTTAGCAGATTGAATTTGGGACAAACTTAAAAAATAAAAATACACGATACACAATACCTTTTTTTCCAAAGATGGTTTCTGTACATTTTTTCTTATCACGCTGATGTATGTTCAAGTGTTAATTTTTCTGATCAGTTTGGTTTTAATTAGTAGTTTGAAGTTTGTAGAACCAGAGTAGAAAAAAGGATTGCATGTGACTCAGGTGTGCAGAAGTTCCACTGTTTAACTGCTAATTTGGAATGGGTTCTCGATGTCAATTCCTAATATTTGTGCAGTATCTGTTTCATTTAGATTTTTTTAGTCAAAGAAAAACACAGGATATTTATCCTCGGCAACAAACGTGCTGTTTGGTTGGTAAGCAGTGGCACTTGTGCACAGAGTGATTCCTGGAATTTGTTACGTAGAAGGATGTTTTCAGCATATTGCTGGCGTGAAGTTAAGCCACGTTTTGGACTGTTTCTTCCTCTCTGTCATGACTCCTTG